TCCTATTCATATGTGGTAGTATTCCCACAGTTGATTGCTTTATCAGTTCCTGGCGGCACACTTTCACCAAATAAATTCATGAAATTGACGAACACGGAATCTCTCGCTTTAATCAAAGCACTTCCCTACCTCTACACTGTTCTTAACCTTTCAACCCAAATTATTCCACATATGCCCAACGAGTGTGTTGGTCATGGGGAAATGCTTAACTAAGCGTTTGATGTTGAATTCACGAGTGGAGTCGAACTCGCTGAGAATGGACAGTGTCTAGTTGTGGTAAATATGGCAGTTGTTTTCGAACACCGCTGTCTTTGCCGCGTTGCTCGGGTTTAGTGGAAAAACCGGACAAACAATACTGAGATTAGGTGCAGGGTTTTAGGTAATTCTGGTCGTCCACTGGAACAAGTGGTCGACCTCTATAGACTACGCTGGTAGGGACATGTGCGCATATCATTAGATAGATTGCCACGGTGCGCGATGTTTGCCAAAGCAGGAAGCGGTTGGGAAAAAGTCATGGGCCGTCAAACTAAGACCTGGCATGAAAGTGGGAAAACCCCAACCAAGAGACTGGGTCAAGTAGGTCCCGTTAGGCTCCCTGGATGAGGAGATCGTGGTAACTGGTATTTAGGGTCACTAAGTGATATACTTGGGTGGTACAAACAGTGGCTCTCGTGCACCCACTAATTATTCTTGCAACCCTATTCTATATGAATTCTGTATCTTCACTTTGGCTACGCTCTCAACGTTCCGATCTTCATTCTGCCGTTTTATCCAACGGGCGGCCCAAAAGACAGCAACCAAAACCAGCGCATGAAAATGCATGTTTATTGGTTGAGGAAACTGAAAAAATGTGACAGCTATTCGGTAGGATCATTTTACGAATGATTGATCAATAAAAAAGGGAATGCAGTTCGGAGTTCATAAACGCTCCTGTTCGAGCACTCGTCATTGGTCCGTGGTTTTCTTGCCGCCGATTCTATCTGTCACGCTAAAACTCCTGTAGTTTGAACTTTACTCGCTCAGCTTCGTTGGCGATGAATCATTCCGTTTTCATCTGTTGCATGTCACGTGTTTCAGTTTGTACAATCATCAACCATGCACTTTCTTAAGCCGGTTTTGGTTGCTGTCTTTGGACTACCCATTTGAATGAATCCGCAGTAGAAGCCAGGAAGGTTGAAAGTAGAGTCGATCAGAAAAGGGAGAATTTCAGTGGTCTAAGGTTGCAAGGAAATTGAGAAGATGCACGAATGCCATTGTTTACAATACTCAGCTATATCACTCAATATCTCTAACCATTGATCACAATGATCCCGAGGTGTTGAATTGGTTCTGTCTTACAGCGTCGCTTGATTGTTTGATACAAAACGTTGGTGAAATGAAACTGAAATGAAAATATCAGATGCTGTTGTTTTGTTCATCATAATAATAACAATGATCCGAAATTTTTTTATACAACATACTAAACTCTCAAGGTTGTCTTTTTTGATTTTTACTTCCTTTTATTGAATATATAATGATACAGTCTCTCCAGAAGGGAGAAGCTGCCTGTCAGAGGGTCTTCTAAAACATAATAGGGAATTTCTGGTGTTGTTGTTGTCGTTGGTGATGATGATGATGATGAGACTCGAACACACGTCCTCTGGAGCGATAATCTGTGGACCTCTCGGTATGCCCGAGGTATTTTATGGGTCCTATGCGTATGCAACGACCGGAACTGCAATCGCTTTATGAGTTCTCTAGTATTGATCGATCGACGGATTAGTTTAATATTGCAGTGAATTCACTTCCGGTTACCGGTAATTCTGTGATTTAGACTTCAGCGTGGTACTACCGGACACGAAACTGTGACCCTGGAACCATCAATCCCGCTAACCGTGGTGTTGTTTGAATAAATTGTTGAGTTATTTTCTTTATAGTGTTCCAAATTGTTCCAGTAATACCTTTTCTTTTTCAACTGCGTTCCATACAAATCTGCCAGGATGCATCTCTCTCTTTGTTTTCTCTTACGTGCTGTGCTTCAATCAGAAACGATTTATTCTGTACTCACAATTCGTATTTACACATTCCCTACTCCACTCAATCCACCTCAACTGATGACCCGTTTCTAATGAATAAATTTTTGCACGCGATTTTCTGCTATGCAGGCAACACCCATCAGAGCATTCCATCGTCTGGTTGTTATGGTTACGAATGATTTAATTTATCCAGTTACGCGCTCTGTCCTGAATTGATGCGCATAATAATTCTCCTGACAGATTCGTCCTTATGTGTTCGTAACCATAGTCATCCACTTGCTTCGTGAGTAGAAGGCGAATTCGCTACTAACACACGACTATCAGTGTGACGGAAGCTGTGAATCACATCTGTTCGGCACTTATTAGACTCGATGATCGTGTTTGTTANTTTGTTATTTATGATGCATTCCTACTTGATTCTGTGTGTTGCATGAGATTAATGGAGGTTTATGAGATTAATCTCATATAAGGGAACTCGTTGTGTATAGAGCAGAAAATGAAACGTGAACTGCAAAGCTAGGAAGCATTGGACAGCTGTTTCGACCTGGTTGGGTCTCATCAATGCACTGTGCGAATCCATCGATCCCGTGGCCGAGTGGGTAGTATACTTGCGTTCTGCCTGTGAAGTCGATGGATTCTCACGCTGCCGATGAGACTCAACCAGATCGAAACAGCTGTCCAATGCTTCCTAGTTTTTCAGTTCACACCTCATTTGCCCTATACACGATGAAATACCTCATGAAATTCTGTGTGTCTTGTGTACCACATCTCAGTTTCACTATACAAAGTTCATCCTCTAATCACTCTCACTGTTTCGCATCCAGTCGACCAATGCAAACAGTGATGATCAATATGTCAGTGATTCCTTGGGTCGTTGGCTTGTTGGAGAATACGGATAGTCTGTCCGACTATACGCTGGAATACGCGGTCGCTCTTTGTATGAACCTATGTCTACGTGCATCAGGTGAGTGGACACTGACGGTGACCCATCCACGATGTGATGTGCACGTTCAACCACTTCGCTTTCCTGCATATGACCCACTTGGTTCACGTGACCTTGCCGTATGCATTTCACACTTGTTTGACCTACATACTTGCTTAAGCCGTGTCAACCAGTTTCACAGACGGTTGGTAAAAAAATGTGAACACCACTTTACGGGAACTAATCACATACAAATCTGTCTAACCACTTCGAACCGTGCGTGCATATATATCTTTTCACGTTTGTGACGGGCATCATTACCTTGCTCGTCTTAGTACAAACCTCCAGGGTTATGACTCAGTTGAAAAGATTTCAAGCCGGACTACTTGTTACACGCGACTGGTGACAAATTTGATACGAGTAACAGGTGAATTTCGTTGTACACAGAGCAACCGAAGGTGTTTTGACCGGATGGACACTGCGAATCCATCGACCTAAACGAGGATGTTCTGAAGATGTTCTTGCTTTTCAGTTCATACTCTGTTTGTTCTGTAAACGACGAAATTTATCATAAAACAAAAAATTCCCTCCCTTAACGTAGCTATTGCATGCTTGACTCTTCAGAAGAAAAATAGGGTCAATCTAACGACTGACGGATTTGCGGGGAAGTCACATTCTCATTCTCATTCGAGAGAGAGAGAAATACATCTTTTCTAAACACAATGCATTGCATCTTGCCCTTCCGGTTAGAGTTCGCATAGACGGATATAACAGTGTATGGGAGTCCGGATTCTAAATGGATAGATCCCAACAGCCAATCAGATAAGCCGCATTTCATCAATAAATCAGGCAAGGGGTGTTTACCCAGCATCCCTTCGACGGAGAGTTTTAGGCAATCGCAGTCGCCCAGTGGAGCAACTGGTCCACCTCCATGTTGTACCCTGATTCAGCTATGTGTTGCGCGTGTCACCAAATAGATTTCCATGGTGTAAGTTCTTTTCCAAGATGGGTACCTGGCGAAAACAAAATGTCCAAGGTGGTCGAAGTAAAACCTGGAATAAGGGTATGAAAACCTAGATCAGGAGACTTGTTCATTTAGGTCGTGTTAAGCTCTCGCGGTCGGAGACCTCGGGAGTTTAGAAACACGGCACAATATGGCTGTGTCGTAGACCACAGTGATCGTGCATTTGCTCAATCTATTTGCAATTTCATGTCTACTCGAATTCTCTACTTTCACCGTGACACTCCTTGAAACATTCCCATCTTCTCTCAACTGTTTCATCCGAATGGGCAACCAAAACCGTCGCACAAAAGTGTTTGGTTAATTGGTTCCATACGCTTCCAGACTCGAGACCTGTTGACCAGACGGATTGGAATCATTCGCCCTTGCGGCACCATCACTGTGTCCATTCCCATCCACAACTGTGTTCTATTTCCACCCTACTGGGGCTGAGGGAGTAACTATACAAATTCGTAGCTGCTAGTTTATTGTTGTTCCCCAATAAACGCATTCACCGAACACGATTTAAGATCATTTGGGAACTTGCTGTCGACATACACATGCATCATGTACGTGCACCACAAGAACCCGGTATATAGTTTTTTCTGAAAACATACCAGTTAACTGCACTGAGGATATTGCAATTTTTTCAAACTGTTTTTGGGGCCAGGGCTGTAAAACTAAGCCGTTTGTTCTTTTCACTTTTCACCGCAGGAAAACGCAATTGTTTGCTAATCAGTCAACGAATTTTAAAAGTCCTAATTGAATTGTTGAACTGTGAGAATATCGATATTGTGCCGTATGTGAACGGAGCGCTCT